CTTGTTAAGAGATTTTTAAGGTTCATTTTATCTGGTATCAGTAGGGCCACCCCTGCTTTTTGTTTGTTTACTGGCTGCACAGAATGTTTTCCTCCATCCTTTCATTTTCAGCTTGCTTGTGCCCTTATGTAGAAGGCAAAAGGATAGGTCATGTTCTTTTTTCAATCCAGTCCGCCACTCTCTGCTGTTTGCATGGGGTGTTTAAGCCATTAATATTGATGGTTCTTACAGAAAATAAAGTGTCTACTTTGAGTTTCCATGTTTTGCTTTTTTTAAATTCTGATTTTTCTATTTTTGTTTATACTTGGTTCCTTTCTTGAACTTTGTTGAAACTCGTTTGGTGTCCTAGCATATGATCTTTTCTAGAAACGGATCCATGTGTGCTAGAGACGAATGTAGCATTCTGATGCAAGGTGGAATGTTCTTATGTAACTCAAGGTCCTTAATGATCTTACTTTTAGATATTTTGTGTATAATTCCAAGTGGATGTTAAAATTCCCTATTATTATTGTAGAGTTGCCTGTTTTTCCTTTCGGATTAGCCTTTCAATAAAACCTTTATGCTTTTCTTCTGAAGGTTTTTTTCTCGAAGATTTGTTAATGGTTACCACACATATTACATTACACAACTTACAACTGCAGCTGTGATTAACATAGGAACAACAGTTAACATACAACCCTAATGTCATAAATCAATTCCAGCTATGCTCTTCCAGCCTCCATTCTGTTGGTGTGCCTCCATTAACATCGCTAGATAGCCTTTATCTGATAAATTTATTCTATACTTATTTCTTACAAACTTACTGTATTATTTGTGGTATTTAATTATTGCATTTATTCTCTGAAAATGTCATACACTTGGTCCCTATGATTGTTTGTGGTAATGCATTTTTTGGAGAGCTCTCCTTTTTTCCCATGTATAGACGTAATTATCTATCTAGTGCACTTACCTTTCCATTGACAGTCTTCCCTTGAGTAATATTTGCAAAGCTGGCCTGGCAGTGGCAAATTCCCAAAAGCTTCTGTTTGTTTGGGAATGCATTGCTTTCCCTCTAGTTTTCTAATGACAACTTTACTGGGTAAAGAATTCTTCATTGGCAATTGTTTTCGTTAGGATTTGATATATGCTGGTTCATTGTCTTCTGACTTCTAGAGTTTCTGTGGAGAAATCCACACTGATTCTTAAGAGAGAACACTGGTATGCTATGTTGTGTTTTTCTTTTGCTGCTTTCAGAATTCTCTCCTTGTCTTTGGTTTTCAAGAATCTTCTTAGGATATGGTGCAGAATTGATCTTTTTGTGTTTCTTCTAATTGGGGTTCATGAAGCTTCCTCTGTTTCCAGGCTTAGTTCTCTGTTTGTTGTTGTTGTTAGGTGCTATTGAGTCGGTACCGACCCATAGCGACCTTATGCACAGCAGAATGTAACACTGCCCAATCCTGGGCCAACCTCACTACTGTTGCAACGTTTGAGTCCATCAATGCTGCCACTTGGCCAATCCATCTCGTTGGGGGTCTTCCTCTTTTTCTCTGACCCTCCACCTTATCAAACATGGTATCTGTTTGTTGTTGTTGTTGTTGTTAAGTGCCGCTGAGTCAGTTCCAACCCATAGCGACCCTGTATAGGGCTTCCGAGGAGCAGCTGGTGAGCTTGAACTGAAGACGTTGCAGTTCAAACGGCTTTGCAGTCTGATGCATTAACCCACAGCACCACACCAGGACTCCAAATTGGGAAATTCAATCTCTTGGACAATTGTTCCTATGCCTTTATTATTGTCATGGTGATCTGGAATTCCAATCATTCTAATGTTAGATTTTTTAATTGAATCTGATACTTCCTTATCTTTGTTTTTCTTGAGATTTTATCAATTATTTTGTCTTCTAGTTCATTGATTCTATCTCCTGTCCATTTCTTTTGTTGATGTTTCTCTTGCTTTTTATAGTTCTGTTGCTTTATTCTTCAGTTTCAGTAGTTTTCTTTTTATGCTTTCAGTTTTCCAAGTCTATCACTTTGTTCATTGATTTGTTTCCTAATCTCTCCTACTTTGTTTTCTCTGTTGTTAGCTTTCTTAAAGCATATTTAGTGCCATAGTCTGAAAAGTATCAATTCTTTATTAATCTGGCCTTCATTGGAGAAATTTCTTCCTTATATTTTTGATTGATCCTTCTTCACTTCTGATTTTGTGTTTGTTGTTTTTTTGTTGAACTTGGACTATTTTGTCATCATTTTTTTTGTTTTGTTTTGTTTTTAACTTTAAATTTTGTATTTTGATTGTTGTGGGTGAATTTTCTGATGGTGTACACTGGTGGAGCAGTGGCCAAGCACCCAGCTGTGAATTGAAAGGTGGTGTCTGCACCCACCAGGTGCTGCACGGGGGGGGGACAGACGTGGCAGACTCAGGAACCCCATGGGGCAGCTTCACTCCACACCACAGGCCACTATGAGCCAAAACCCACCCTGCAGCAGTGGGCTTAGTATCTTCTCTGAGAGCTGCTAGAGAGGACACTTATCCTTAGGCTTTCAGTCAATGTTAATTCAGGGGTGTTAGTACTTGACCTCTGGAATTTAAGATATGTACACGGGCAGGTTAGCTGGTCATAGGTATGGAAGTAAGTGGTGGGGCTCAACCTTCCTATGGCACAGGTGGGGACTGTCTCTATGTTTCTCTCTTTAGTACTCTGTAAGGCTTGTTCTCAGTGTCCCAGGGTGGGCTAGGAGCCAGCCTTTGTGTCTAAGTGTTCCCCTTACTCTGCTACCCTTTCACTGCCTGTCTGGTAAGGGCCACGGCAATATCCAACAGGAATCTCTTAACAATGCCCCAGTCTCCCTTCATCCCTTTTCAACTGCGCCAACCACGACCTCCAACGCCATCTGCACTGCCTTAAAGCAATCAGACCACAGCTTCCTCAGATGAGCTCCCTGTACATGGTCCAGCCCCAACTCAAAATGGTTGTGATGAGCTAGCGCTCCAGATATTAGCGGCTAGGTTCTCCCATTTCCTGTATTATCCCCATTCCCCTCTCCCCAAATCTGGACTCACTGTGACCATCCATCCAACACCTCAGCTCTCACCTGGAGTTCTGAGATCTGTCTGTGCAATAGTCTATTGTTTTGTGACTTCGTTGCTGAGGGGTAAGTGGGAGCGTTGCTCACTTCACCATCTTCCTCCATCCCCACAAGAGGTGTTGTTATGTTCGCCTTCTGTAACTGTGTAGTTGTTGGGTGCCATTGAGTCGCTTCTATTCACATAGATGCTGTATAATAGGGTTTCTGAGAGTGGCTGGTGCGTCTGCACTGCTGACCTTGTGGTTACCAGTGCAGGGCTTACTCCACAGTGCTTAGTGATTTGGCTCAATATGATTGTTTGAAATGATAGAACTTCCCTGTAAGGGCCAGACTCCTAACTACTGGGGTAGGGCTTGGATGAGGCCTGGAGGGGGAGGTGATGCCAATTCAGTAAAGCTTGTCAGACCAAATTCAGGAGACCCCTGGAGAAGCTTCACAGAATAAACACTGCCCAAACTCTGAAAAAGGGAAAAGCATTTTACCTTCAGCTACTAAGCAACCAAGCATCTGTTTATCTAAGAAACAGGAGTGAGAGGGCACAGAAGCAGGGCTCAAGACAGGCATGGCTGTGTGGCATGGCTAGAATTTAGGTGTGACTTGGGGAGTGGGTAGCTATAGGGGTGGACCATCTTTTAGGTGAAGTATTCTAAGCAGGGGTATTACATAATCACATTTGGGTTTAGAAAGAAGACCCAGGCAGCAGCCTGGAGGAGGGACTGGAAGACATCTAATCAGACAGTCAGAGGACCTGCAGTGTCTTTGTGGGTGACAAAAAGACCAGACCCAGGGTAGCCACAATTTGTAAAAGGAAAGAAGGCTCTCAGAAACAAGCCACTAAACTAGCTGATTGTTGTTGTTAAGGGCCCTGGAATAGGTTCCGACCCACAGCGACCCTGTATATGGTTCTGAGGAGCGGCTGGTGAGCCTGAACCACCGACCTTGAGGTTCAAACCAACCATGTGCATTAACCCACAGCACCACATTAGGACTCTGAACAAGCTTGGCTGGGCAAAAATCACCCCAGGAGATGCCTGCAGGATCTCCCCCGTGAGTGAGTGGAGAGTGAAGGGTGAGCCGGGATGCTGCTCAGGTAGACTGGGCTGTTGCTGAGGCAGAGACACTATCAGGGAAGGCAGCTGAAGAAGCAATGTCAGCTCTGACTGAGACTGCCAGCCAGTCTCAGTGGCCCCAAAGCTGTTCTCTTACATAGTTACAGTTTTCAGTAGGGTTAGCCCATAGATTTTGGAATGAAGACCACTTCTGCCAGCCTCCATTGCTGTGGTCAGGCATCTAAGTTTGGGGCAATGGAGGTCTTCCAGGAAGTATCTTTAAATAAAGGTATATGCTCTACTTCCTCTGCTTCCATTTTGGTAGCCAGAATGCAGATGTGATGGTTGTAACTGAAGCAACCATCCTGAACCATATGACTATAAGACACATGTTCGACATGGCACAGATACAAGGTAAAATAAATCTGGGAGGTTCATTGAAGCTGCCCGGACTGCCAGAATTTACAATTGGTGTTTATTTAAGCCACTATAATTCTGCATTTGTCTTCCATGGTGAAAACAACTTCAACCAATGCAAATTGTCCAGCGGGCTTGGGGCTCAAGACAGATTTGATGGTCACCAGTATAAATAGAGGCCTCTCAGATGAGGACTATACTTTCGGCTTGTTCTCCTTGAGGGTGGTACAAAGATAAAGCAGTTCTGTGCACTCACAGCCTGTGATAGAGAAGAGAACTTTACCCGCACTCTCTGCCAAGTTTAGTGTGCTTCCTGGGCCAGGCTGGTTGTCCACATGGCCATACAGGGATGCAGGGCATCATCCTGGCCAACAAGGTTAAAATGGGGGACTTGAAGGCATGGCACTTTCAAGACAATAAATATTCTTATAAATTGGGAAATGAAAATTTAAACAACCACACAGACATTACCCTGGAGCTTCCTCGGTAGAGACGGCAAAGCTGATCAAATGCTTGGATTTGCTGTGGATCCAGAACAGGTTCTGAGGTTGCCTGAGAAACCAAGAGAGATAAGGGCATTAACATGATGCGACTCAGTCCATAGCTGTGTCTGTTCTTGCAAACAGGGAAGCAGGACTTGGTGCTTTCTTCATCCTTCTAACGAAATCCATACTTAGTTGAGAGATCTTTACCAACTATTCATTAGAAACGGGCATGTCCCTCTAAGGTTCCTCCTAGGCCATCCTTTCAGTGCACCATTTTCCCAGTGTGGTTTCTAAGTCTCCATAGTTACTTTCTTTAGAGCTTCTAGATCACCCCTTGCCATTACTATGCAGAGCAATTGAGCCCACCCGGCCTTCGTGTCCAGATCCATGACTTCTGCCTTGCTCTCAGTGCTGCAGGGATGGTCTACCATGGGGAGATCCCACAGGGGCTCTTCTCCGACTCCTGAGTATGTCACAAGAGCAGAGGGATTAATGTTTACAGTTGCCTTGACATATTAAAAAAAAATGTTTCCTCAACATTATTTGGTAGGAAAAATGGTCATATTCTTAGAGATAAACAGTGTGGCATATTGTACTTGCAACAGACACTAAGAAAGATATACAGGGAACTCAAGTTAAAGATGATCTGAAGGTTTGAGAAGTACTACCAAACTAACAAATAAGAAATATAATTACTTATGTGAGAGTCCTGGTGTGGCACTGTAGGATAAGCACTGGACTGCAAGGTTGTTTGAACCGCAAGGTCGGTGGTTCAAACTCACCAGCTGCTCCTCAGAAATGTTATATGGGCTCGCTATGAGTCGGAACCAGCACGACAGAACTTAACAACAACAAATGATGTAGGAATTTAATTTATGGAAAACATGATCCTGACACCTGATTTTCCTATGCCCTTTAGTACTACGGGCACAAACCTGGAGCAGGGGAGGCAAAGGCCAAGGAAGATGCCTGTCCAGCACAAGCTCCAAAGGCTCCCCTATGGGCTGGCCTCCCCACAATCTGCATGACAAGAGAGCAACCACCCTGTCTGAGTCCCACCTTCACTTATACCTTGGTTATTCTGTGATAAAGGTTGTAACCCTGGCTTTACCTTGTAAGCCCTAGTCCCCTTCAGCTGGGAGAAAACCTGGAATAACCACAGGTAAATACATACATGGATGTGTAAAAGGCTGACAGTGTAACAACGTGGGACTGGACTAGGGCAGGCACTAGGGATTGCTGTTGCTGTTTAGTGACATCGAGTTGGTTCTGACTCATAGCGACCCTTATATATGGTTTCCAAGGAGCAGCTGGTGGGTTTGAACCACTGACCTAGTGGTGAGCAGTCCAGTGCTGATCCTGCAGTGCCCGACCAGGGCTCCATTACTAAGGATTAGTTAGGGTAATTTAAAAGGTTGCTAAAGTCAGGTTGCCGTTGTTGTGTTCCATCAAGTCAGCTCTGACTCATAGCGACCCTGTATAGGATTTACAAGGAGCAGCTGGTGAGCTTGAACTGCCAACTTTGCAGTTCAAAATGACTTTGCAGTCCACACATTAACCCACAGCACCACACCAGGACTCCAGGTTAGAAAGTCAGGTTGTTGTTAAATGCTGTCGAGTTGATTTTGACCCACAGCGACCCTGTATAGGGTCTCTGAGGAGCAGCGAGTGAGACTAAACTGCTGACCTTGTAGTGCAAACTGCTTTGCAGTTCAGCGCGTTAACCCACAGCGCCACACAGGTTAGCAAGTGATAAATCAGCAAGAGCACAGTCTCTCTTTCTAGATGAACTTTTATAAAACAGCCTTTTGTTATGAAGTGGTATCACCAGAAAATCTCACAAAATGTATTTTTGTACCTGTTACGGGAATGTAGACCATGTGATGCCTCACTGAAGAAATTCCTTCCAGTCCCTGCACTAAGAATCCCTTGAACACTGCAGTCTTGTTACTAAATTGTGTTTTCTGTTTTGCTTCTATCACTCAGAATCCAGCACACTACACTGTCTGCTACATACATAGAACAAGCAATTGCACAGGACTTGGCGGCAAACACTAGTGTGTGCTATCATATAGCCCCTGGTCTTGTGTTATTTCCCACAGACATACAACTTTTAAAAATCTAGGTTTCCTCATTTATTTCTGTCACCCTACTGGGGTAGGTTTTGGAAGCCCACTTAAGTCTTTTTTGGAAAAGTGAATGTCCTGTCAGGCTGTTAAGTTGAAAATGCTATTAAAAATGCATGCAACGGAGGTCCCTGGGACCATCAAGGGGGAAGAGCAGAGAGGGGGACCCTACCCAGAGAAACAGTGACACCAGAGATGGAGGCAGAAAGGATGATGTGGAGAGATGGAGCGGATGGGGACTTTAGACACAGAGAGGGAGAGGGGCTGTGTGCTGACGACTGGGGTGCAGACTTGTACTGTATACCCTTTGGTTGGTTGATGATGCATGGACGGGATTGTAACCATGGCAATGAAACCATATACAATAGGATGAATGTAAAACTAATGTTCTCCCATGTAAACTATCACATAATTCACAATAAAACATTAAAAAAAAAAAAAAAGGATACATGCTTTCCAGCCCCCAGAAAGTCCTAAATGGTCTATGGCTCTATTCTGGGCACAGGTTTTAGTCCATGGGATTTTGCTCATAAAGGCACAAAGTAAAAAGTCTCAAATGATGATCCACCTCATGTTTTCTGAGCCACTGTTTCTCAAATGTTAACATGCACACAAATCGCACAGGGGCGGCGTTAAAATGTAGATTCTGCTTAGTGGGGGTTGTGTGTTGCTATGATGTTAGAAGTTATGTCACTCGTATCGAATACCAGCAGGGTCACCCATGATGGATAGGTTTCAGTGGAGCTTCCAGATTAAGGCAGACTAAGTAGGCTTGTTGATTTTCGAAAAAGTAGCCAATAAAAGCCCTAAGGATCACCATAGAATACTGTGTGATGTAGAGCTGGAAGATGAGTCCTCTGGGATGCAAGGCACTCAAAACATACACTGAGCACAAAATGGACCCGAGCACGCAGGGATCATGAAAGACGGTGCAACATGGGACAATGGTCATCAGGAGTCAAAGCCGACTCAATGGCAGCTACCAACGACACTGATTTTATTAGTGTGTGAAATGGGTGCACATTGAGATGGAGAGGCTAAGAGACTTTGCCCACTAAGAATAAAAACTCAGAACTAGTTGAGGGTCATAACCATAGCCTCCCTCCTGTAAGCGCTAGCCCTCCTGTGCTGAGAGAAAATCTGGACTAATGAACAGGTAAGCACACATGTTCACACAGGCAGGATTTCAAACAACACACTATGCCCAGATGAGTGCAGGGTATGGCTGAGTTCTGGGCTTGCCATGATCTTATTTCTCTGCTAGGCTCAAATTGCTCAGAGATGTCAAAAGAAGGGGCTGTATTTTCCAGCAATGGCACCCTTCAGAAACAGGAACACCTGGTTGTTCCATGAGTATGAAATAACTGAAGGGCACAGGCTCTTTCTTATGACACAAGCCACTGTCCTGGGCAGCCAGAGCCTTCTCGCAGTAGCAACTGCTGGGCGGCCCTAGGTCCACCTGGAAGCCAAGTCCCTGTATGATGGGATGTCCTGTTCTTGGCTAGGGCCATACATGCCTTAGTGGTAAAGTACAGATAAGTCATCTGAGGTGAGACAAGAGAGCTTTATTTGTAGAGGTACCTAGGACCTAGCAGACAGACGTTCACCTGCCTGAAAATCTTCCCTGGAATGAGATAGGCTATTTCTGAAGTAGATCACGAAGGTGAAGGTTTCTGTACTCTTCTCAGTTCTACAGGCTTAAGAAATGGGGGTGCAGCAAAGTGAGGGAGAGGAGCTGGGCCCTTGAAAGACAGCTTGCTCACAGAAGGCCCGTGGAGCTGGTTTATATCCTGTCTCTGCAGAATTCCAACATGTTTAACTGGCTCTTATTCTATCACCTCCATGCCTCAGGATTTGGGGTTCAAGTCTAGAGTTCAACAGACATTTCCGAAGGCCCTATTATTTCAGCACAGGGGCACAATAAGAAATTAGAGTTGCTTAGTGTCATACAGAATCCAGGGCACAGATTTCATCTTCTCCTATGGTGTGGTGCTGCAGGATACGCACTGGACCACAAGGTCGGTTTGAACCACAAGGTCGAAGGTTCAAGGTCACCTGCCACTTGGAAACTCTATGCAGGGTTGCTATGGGTTGGAACTGATTGGACGGCACTTAACAACAACAAATGTTGATAAGCAAAGCTTATTTTCCTAGGCAGCCCTTGTCTGAAATATGCTCTCGTATTATCTACATCAACCATCAAAATGTCTCTGAAATTACATTCTGGTTGCAATTATATTCTTGCACATAATGAACATAAATGCGACATGCTGGCTCAGCTCTAGCTCTCCTTCTGGAATGTCTTCTCTGATCCCCCAATCCTGTCAGTAGATTAGATCCTCTTTTGTGCTTCCTCATGGATTTTGCTTAATTGCATTGTTTCTCCCATTAGACTGCCCACTCCTTGAATATCAGAACTGAATCTAATTCATCCTTTTATTCCCAGCACTCTGCCCAGAGCAAACATTGGCTGAATAATCCTATCTGCTGGTTTATTCTGGCTCCATTTTAGGTATAATGGCAGTAGCAAGATGCTCTACTGGGCCTGGTGTGAAATCACTGGTATTTGTCTTCTTATTTCCAAGAACTTGGACTCTGTAAAGAGTCTTTGTGATTTCTGGCAATTTTACTCTGCATGTCAGTAAGATAACTATTTCTTTTTATTTAATCTAATTTTGGCAAGAGGATTCTTTTTTAATGTGTTTTATGGTAGCATCATTTATTCAAAGAATAGGTTGTAGGTAGTTGCCGTTAAGTCAATTCAGACTCATGGTGACCCCATGTGTGCAAAGGAGAACTACTCTAGAGGTTCTTTAGACTGCCAGGCAAGGAAAGGCCTCTTTCCATCATTGCCCTGGTGCTTCCTGGTGACTGAAGCCTGCTGGGCCAGGGCGAGGCTGCTTCCCAAGGGCAGGGAACTGTGGTGTGAAGAGCGGGCGAT